GAGTTTTTTGCCCACTCAGAGCCACCAAACTTGAACATTTTATAATTAAAAATGTTTTTGAATGAGATGTTTAAAAAAGTAAAGAATACAGTAATGGGAAATGCATAGCTAAAATGCGGCAGTTGATGCATAACAGATGTCTGTGATGATCACCAAACATAGGTTGTTAGAAAGGATGGTGATTGTCCTCGAGGCAGCTAAGGGATAGCTTCTTGTTAATTTTATACAAACATTAGCTTCTTGTTGGACTAGCTCTATCCATTTTAGAATGGATAGCATGCAAGCCACTAATTTTTGTGTTAAATTACCAATTTTTGCAACAAATAGAATCGTAAAAAGTATGAGACTTAGTCTGGTTTGTGTGCTTTACAATCTTATCGAATGGTGGATTAACATAATGGCTAAAGAAAATATGGACTTGGTGAAAGATTAGATTCTAGAAATTGAAGTAACTTCAAAGAAGAAAAGTATGTGATAAAGTTTCAGATCTGTGTTAATGTTGTGATAAGGATCCTTCTCCTGTGGGTAAACTAACCCAAGCAGTGGCACTGAGGTCGGGCAAAGCCTCACTGTAATGAAGGGAGTGGCTCCGCAGTGGTTGTGGTGGATGGAAATGAAAAGGTTGAGGTGGCAGAGTGTTTGAATCTCAAAAACGTAACGCTTGAAAGTCGCGACGGACCCACCCTTTGAACTCCCAGAGAGAACTGAAATTCATTTAATCAGATCCAAAGAACCAGTACTTTAATCTTTCTTGTTTGTGCATCTGGTGAACTAATGATCTGTTTCCTCTCCGCTGAAGGCTTTGGGGTGGGCATGGCAGCAGTCCGAGGTTAAGGTGGGGGCACTGGCCAGTGGCTAGATTGCACGTTTGGGTTGTTACCACGGCTTCTGGAACATGGGGCTGCGGGCACCACATGTGTTGGCACAGGGTGCGGGCACTTCAGATGTGGTCAGGGACATGTGGAAGCTCTCTAGGGTTTATCCTGCCCAGCCCTGTCAGGCTCCTGAGGGGACAGACAGCAGGCATTACAGCAGACAAGCTTCAAAACCTGCTTTCAGACAAACAAACATGGGAATACTTTGTGAGTTGTGTTTTAGATTTAAGTTAGTTGGGTGTGTATGTTTGACACTGTACTTTGGTTTAGAAGAATGTAAACCAATAAATACAGTGAAGGAAAATGTTGCTGTTTCATCATGATTGTTAATATCTGACTAATATGTTTTCATGTTTGGCTAATTTACGTTCACACTTCTTAGTTACACAAAAATGTATTCACTGTTCATGCACTGGTTTATTTTAAGAGTTTGGGCTATTATTCCAATTAATGTCTTCTTTCACACCAGTGGAAAGAAAACATGCAAAATACACAACTTGGAATTTGTAATGCTGATACAGTATATCAGTTAAAGATATTAAACTTATTGGTGTTAATGTATAACATTTCACAATAAATGTAGTTAAAGGCCAAATATCTCTATTAAAACAACACTTACAAGCACTAACATTTCTAGCTTTATTTCTATCTATATTCTAATGAAAATTAGGGGGTTTGTTCATATACCATCCATATTCAGATGAATTGCTGATAACATTTATTTAATGGCTGTTTATCGCTGAAAGTATTTTCTTAATTATGGACTGATACAATCAGTTATCCAATAGTCCCTCACCTAAGGCTGAAATGTTAACATAATGATACAACAATTGTGAATCTAAGCCAGTGTTTCCCCTAGGTTTACTGCTTTGGGGGGGGGGGTTTCATTGGGATATATATTTTTTTTAAATCCTCTGGAGCAGAGAGAGGAGCTGTGGATTATTGTTATTCATTAATACATCAGTGTTTCTTAGGGTCAAAAAGACTAAACTCACAACTTAAAATGAAAGCGTTTAGTTTATTTAATAAAAGAGCACATGTTCAATGTGAAAAGTGACAGTAGATATAAATTGACAGTAGTGACAGTAGATATAAATATATATATATATGTATATATATGTGTATATATATATATATTAAAAAAATAATAATAATTTTTTTAATTTTTAAAACACCTTGAATTTCAGGGGGGGCGCGGGGCTCCGTTGGCGGGGCTCCGTTGGGCCTACTCTTAAATGCACTGCTTTAGATATTCTTGTTGTGTCTTAACATTTCAAGAATAAAATGAAAGTTCAGTCACCACTGATGTGTATTTACCCTGGCTTACAGTATGTTCAGAAAATGGCCTTTCTTCATGCCTTTTTAAGAAGGCCGCCTGACGGACACGTTTGATCGAAAGTGTCCAACAGGTAGGACCTTGAGATTAAAGAGATTGGCAGCTCTATTTACATGCTGAGGACAAGGCCGTCGCAAAACCAACAATCAAGTCAAAAGTCAGAAAAACTGGCGTCGACAGTTCCCACGCTTTCCAAACCAAATTCTTCGAACCGTGCATGCTAATCTTTTTTGCCATGAAACCCCCGCCTCTGCTCTTTTCTCCCTCCGTCACCAGTGCCCGGCCCCGACCCAACCAGCCGTATCTTCAGTCATAAAGTCAGTCTATGGGCCAGGGTTTCCCCTCGGCACGGCCAACATGTCTGCCTCTTTGTGGGGGATGTTAATGGGTCATTTTGGGCCCAAGACTATGGATGGTATCTATTTCACATGTGACACTGGCAGCCTTTGAGATCTCACTGAGCTGTGAGGGTAATTATTCTTAATTAGGCGTAGCCACTTTCATGGGTCTTTTTATCCACGCTGACTGGCCGTTTTTTTCTTCTTCTTTAGACTGACATGAAGTTAATTTATTGATCAATTAATTTACCCTTTTCTGACAAACAAAAACATTTCTTGGGATTTTGATATATGACCATATTTGTTTTCAAGTAATTTAATTTTGAATATAAATTTGATTATAGTAACATTGCCAAGGACTACCTGATATACATTTTGATAACATAAAGTATATCATCTGTTTACATTTCCAATGGAAACTTACCTAAAATGTAAGTTTTATGGCTTATTTTAACAATGTGATCACATGATTCCTAACAATATTATTGCAGATCTGCTAGCTAGCTATCCTAGCTAGCCTAGTCATTTCAAATATACTGACAAAACACAATTATTGAACAAGCTTACTATGCCAACGGTGACAATTGGCCAACTTTATAATCCCCAAATGTCAACACGTGTGTTCCCAGCTGTTCGCATCACTTTTTGGTTGGTGTTCGTTTAAGCGGCGCTTTTTGTAAACCATCTGCATGTTTCATCAAGTTGGTGAATGTTTCCTAAAAGCTGCGAATGTGTTGTCAAGTTGTGTTTCTTCATTTGCATGTGTTTTGACACATTTTTGTATATACATTTGCTTCCGAAGCTGCAGCTCCTAATTGAAATTATTGAGGCCGTTGTAGTGTGTTTGCACCTGGTGGCCTCCGTAGTTGTTGGCACTAATACACACAGTACACCAGTAGTTTGTGCCAGTGCTGTTTTTTAATTGTTGAAAATTGAAAGTGCATTTTATTTGCAATGAAAAAGTTACAAATATATTTGTGGAATTCACCTTTTTGTAGCTGCAATATTTTCAATGTTTGATTTAATTAACTAAAAGTATTCCATACACTCTAAATACATTGTGTTGATCTGTGCAATCTCTTTCTACAATGATAAACTAGTGTATGGCTGTTTTATTGAGGCCCTTGTTTCAGTATTTAATTGTGAGTTGCGTCAGGAACTGCCACTTCTCTCACCAAAACAGTAAAAGAAGGAGAATTGTAGTCCAGTACGTGCCACTCTGAGTGTATCTCAGCTAATGAAAGAGCAGCGAGAGCCTGTGTGAGGAACAAATCTTGTTTTACTGTATAGCCTCATATTAAGCTCAGTTTGCCTTGTGTATTTTAAGACTCCTTTCTCTTTCTCTCCCATGGTCAGCTGTGGCAGGCAGCAGAGCAGTGGTGCATCGTGGGCTGCTTTTCCCGAACGCACAAAGAGTATGAAGTAGGCAGCTGGATAATTGGGGAAGGTTGTAATTCAGAGCTGCTTCTGTCTATTTGAGGTCCTTTAAGTACAGACTGCATTGAGCCCAGGACACGTACTTCGGTGTCTGAAATAACCAATGGCCTGTTTTTTGTCATGCTCAGATGATTTAGTACTGACAACTAACATTGTTTGCGGGAACTGATGTGTGGATGTTCTGTTTTAACTTATGAAATGACATACATTATTTCCTGATAGCTTGTCGACATTATGTTAACACAATTTCTTTAGATGTTTTGCCAAAAAGGAAATGCTGCACATTTGCTTGTTTCTTTTGCAATACTATCTACGTTTTTATGGGTCCAGAACCACTGAGATCCTATCTAAAACCAACAGTGAGAAAGCAGCATGCTTTTTAACAAAGTGTCAGAATAATAAGATTTGGCGTGTTTGTGGTCAGCTTCCTCTGACGTCAAATTAAATTCCAAATGCCGTATTCCATGCCGTATCCTCGTTTACTTCCCATAAACAGCCTGTTTCGTGTGATCAAGCACATATTTTAAACCTCAGAGCTGCTGTAACACAACCAGATACACAGAAAGTGCTGGTGGCTTGGACAGGCTGTAAACTGTGGTGACCAGGGTAAGCATTCATGGATTAGATCCAAATCACAGACGCTAGAGCAGCTTTGTTTCGGTATTAGCAGTTAGCAACAATAGCTGGCAAGTTGAACCTAAGGTTTCTGGTCTTTTAAGGACTCCGGAGAAATCGAAAGGCCTACTGTATCATGCCTCACTTGAGGAGAATAGTAGAGATTGCTGTTCCCATTTTATAACTGTGCTTATTGTGGGTGATTTAGGGACAAATCTCCTCCTTTTACTGTTGGCTTAAGTACTTTAATCTCTTTCTGATCAACATATGACTTCTCTCCCGAGTGAGATAATTGTTTCCTCCACAAGTCAGAGGTCAGAATGTTGAGGGTTAAGGCCTCGACACTCAACGTGTGCATGTTTTTCAATGTTCCCGCTCAGAGGTCAGGGGCAAGTAAGGATGAAAGCCAAAGTTAAGGTGGAGCAGGTGATTAACCTTGACCTTGTTGTGTGTTTTTGCGGATGTGTTTTGGTGAAAGTGGACATCGCAGCAGAGTGTGAGCCATCAGCGGTCCCTCTGAACACACACTGGTTGAGAGGGAGCCCATCTGAGAGCGAACACCCCCCACAGAGGACGAGATTGACACACCACCTGTCTCATCACTCAGGAATGTTTGAACAGAGATGATTGGGGAATGTTTTCCGTCAAAGAGGGTAAATACCAGGAGTGCAACCACCATCGATCATGATTAGGATTGCTTTACAAGCAGGAAGAAATGATGTCACTTTGTGAATTTTACTCTATTATGGTTGTAACAAACCAAAGTACAAGAAAATCAACGATGAATAGTCCGGGTGAGCCTTTTACTCAAAATCAGATTCAAGATTAAGTAAACTTGATGGTTATTACATAAGAGGACTGATACTCCGTTCTTATAACATTACATTGCATTTAGCTGACGCTTTTATACAAAGCGACTTACAATAAGTGGGTTCGACCAACAAGATACAAACTTGAAGAAAAACAGAATCATATAACTTATAAGAGTCAAGGAAGTGCCAACACATTATCTGCTTTAGTTGTCAGGAAGCTGTTTTAATTTAAATGAATGTGCACCATTTTTAAATCTCTTTGGAGTCTTTTCTGGCAGCTTAAAGGTCCCATGAGATGGTTTTCCGGTTATTACCCGTCCCCTTATGTTATGCAGCTTTTTCTGCATGTAAACGGTCTGCAAAGTCACACGGGTGCTAGTGGAGCCTTGCAGATGGGGGTGCTGCAGCCCCCTCAGCACCCCCCCCTTCCCGCATCCATGGTGCTCAGGTTGAGTTCAGGTTGAGTTCAGGATGAGTTTCGCGCTGTCTCGCCAAGGTCGGATTANGACCAGCTTTCAGGGGTCCTGACCAGGATATTCAATCTGTCCCCAAGGCCGGATTAACCATATGGGCAACCTGGGAAAGTGCCCTTGAGCAAAGAGGGCCCTCAGTGACAAGATAAAAAAAAAAAATATATATATATTTTTTTCTTTTTTCGGGCAAAACCTCACTCATCGTACATTGTTTTAAATTACACTCACTCTTCGCCATAAATAACACAGCTTTTCCATAGGGTCAAATTACTGTAGGTCTCACTATGTATGCGCTCAACTTTATTACTACGCGGCGGCGGTGTATAGCCGAATCACAGCCCCACCCTTGAGCAACCACACAATTTCAGCGAGCCGCGCAACGTCCCGCCAACACGGCACCCAGACCCCACGCAGCATTCTCATCTGTTTGTCATTGCTGGTGTCATTTTCTGGTTGCTAACAAACGCCATTGTAACACATAATCACTGATGTTCCGGTGGTGGACTCATCAGAACAGAGTGGGCGAGCTGACCAATGTGTGTGTTTGCAGGACTTGGCCTTCTCCCTGGAGGAGCGTCACCAGCTGGGGATCCATGGCCTGCTGCCTCCGTGCTTCAACAGCCAGGACATCCAGCTGCTCCGGGTGCTCAAGAACTACGAAATGAAGAGGGACGACTTGGACAGGTGAGGCTTATTGACAGAGCGAAACCTATACTTAATACCATAACCTAGTACCTTTTTTTATCAGCTTCAAATCAGTAGGGTTGAATTTTAATGGACTCTTGAGAAGACTACCCTTGCCTTTGTGCACAGTGAGAGAGCCTATACATCTGGAAGCCTTCGTAACACGCGAGGAACATTAGCGATCAGCCCTCAGAGATCTCGTCCATCTCTTAAAATAATATATCTTACGGAACAAATCTCAACACTTTTCCCCCATTCCTCCGTCTCCTCCCTGTGTATTTATAACCTCCACAGCGACCAAAGGAAAACTTCAGTTTAGTTTTGCACGCTTCATGAGACACGTAGGAGTAGTAGCTGTTAGCATTATGTCACTAGCTAACATTTCAGCCCAGACTCCTTGATCAAATCAGGCACCAAACTGAACTCATAGCCTGTTTCCAATTATATGCAAAGTGCTGAATATTATCTATGTGTTTAACTGCTTCTCATTCCAGTCAACCGTTCCTTCAGCTGTCACTCCTAATGTCAAGGTTGAGCGAGTTGCTTGAGAGAGGGGAGTTTGGGTCAACAGGAACTAGACAGCTTCATTTCCCACCATAGCAACGTCACAACATCAACATGCAATTTGAGCGCCATTCCCATGCCCTATCACTTTCACTGACTATCTGTCTCCAGTGTTCCACCTTCGGGCTTTTGTCCCGTGGATTAAGGATTGCTATTTGCCTGCTTTTGCTCAAGCCCGCTGTGTTTACTTACAGTCTGTTCCCCTTCTCCAAATATTTCTTTGGTATTTACTGCTGAATGCTGGGTTCTTTTTACAACCATGACCCTGTTCTATTTTAATCTGATAACTTTTCCAGTGGAATTTGCCGTGTTGTCTAATTATTGTGGGAAATTATCGCCTAGAATACAGCGCCGCAAAAAGGTCTATGATCTTAGATGATGGAGTGACTTGAATACCTACTGTGACTGTATCGTCAACAGAGGAAATGTATGTTTAAAGACTTTGCCAACTGAAATACTGCAGTTTATTAAATACTACAGCAAAAGGAAACCATATCCAGTAATGTATTTGAAAGCAGGCTTAGAATGAGCGTTTGATCTCTCATGCTAAAATAGATGAAGAAAGAGATTGATTATGTCCTGGCTGCTCCAGTGGGTGGACTTTAAAGGAAACACTGCACTCAGTCAGCATGGATCCTTGTGTACTGTAAATATTCCTGTTTCCTGGGTGTGTGTAGCGCTCACGCCTATTAAGGTTAAAAAATCTTCCTTAATGTCTGCCAGCAAAACATCAAACAACAGCACACTGCAGTAATATGTTAGGATTATATGTGGGCATTTAATTATAGTTTGCTTTGCTGAGTCATAGTAGCTACATTGTCAGTGAGGAGCAATTCAAGCTGGTTATGGACTCAAACATTTTTTTTTCAAACAGGCTTTTTCTCTGCCTATAAAAAGCAGTAATACTTTTATTATTATGCATTTGAAGGAAGCTTTCCAAAATCTGAGAAAATTATTTTTAGTTGAGTTAATCCTGAAATTAAATACAGAGTTTGATCCCAGATCAAATGTACGTTAGAGGGTCTGGAGCGTGTTTCTCTTAAGGGATTGTGATGTTATGTTAATGTCTGTTTCCCTGTATCTTTTCTTAAATATTTGTCCTTGTTGATGTTGCAAATGGAGCTGCTGTGATGCAAGAAAAATGTCAGACTGGATCTGACAATTAATTAATATAATATCCTAGTATACTAGGAACTAAACAATATCTCACCTAGGGCTGCAACAAACATAAAACACTTTCTCAAAAATGTATTAGGGTTAGTCAAAATGTCAAAAAAATATCCTTCACAATTTCTTTAAGTCTAAATTGACTTCTTTAAACCTCAAATAAATGAGTTTATTCTGATATAAGACAAGTTGAAATAGCAAATTCTCACATTTAAGAAGCTGTTGGCCTTTTTTTCTTGACCAAAAATGACCAAGACAATCCATTATCAAAATATTTCTCGACAATTTAATAAATTGATTTAAAAAAAGGTAGCCTGGCTTTGTTTCTTTGCCATTGTTTTTTAATGTGTTTCTCACAAGCGCCCCCCATTTTCTGAATTGCAGTAAATTGCCAACTCAGTGAACTCTATCAACCCAGGAGTTTGAAAAGCAGTTGAAACCTTTGGAAAAAGTTATCAAGCAGACCTTGAGTTAAGCTTATAAGTAAAAGAAATGTACCGTCTCAATTAAACTTTAGGAACAGGTACACTTGAACCCATGGCAAATAATCAATATATGGCTTCCTTTATTTCAACTCCAGTAAAACATACAAAAACCTTCCATGTGATAAATTGCATTTAGCAGAAACTCATTCGGTCCGTTGATATGAAAACAGTACGGCTCAAGAGCAACTGTCACCACGGTGTATTGTGCAGCTGCTGTGTCCTAACGTATAGCAGGGAGGGCCTTATCCACTCAACAAGAGGCACCTTGTGCTCCTGGCCTTATGGAAACTTGTGATTAGGAATAGAGCCCCTCAGACGAGCTCTGTTTAATTTGGGTTAAATGCAAACCCTCTGTTCCCGTTCAATCTACAGAACAAAGAGCATGTGTAGGATATCCGAAGGGCTATTCTTTGTATTTTTCCAAGCATTATGAACAAAAGCAAACACAGGCATTTTCAAGTAATTGTTTCATATGTGAGCAGTTTCTTTCTTCTTTTTGTTTATCTTTTGTAACTTCACTGCTTTTGCTGGGTTTTACGATGTATGGACATTCTCGATCTTAATCATTGCTTCTCATTCTTTGCTAAGATGAATTCTCTTTAAAGTATGTCTTGGCAGTTCCTTTAATCTCACACAAACAAGCAGGACTCAACATCTGACTTAGATAAACCCCTCTCCACAGTTCCGCAGGTTTGAGTCCTCAAGATGTTAAAGATAACACGCTGTGTTTTCCTCCCTGTCTCTTCCAGATATGTATTTCTGATGGGGCTCCAGGACCGTAACGAGAAACTCTTCTACCGGCTGCTCACGTCAGACATAGAGAGGTTCATGCCCGTCATCTACACCCCCACTGTGGGCCTGGCCTGCCAGCAATATGGCCTCATATTTAGAAGACCGAGGTAAGACGCTTACAACGTTGAATTGTAGTGAATTATTAAAGGAAATGTCCGACAAAGTGCAAAATCAATCATCTTATTCAAAAAGGAAACTGGGGATCTCTCTTTCAACCCAGTACCAAGTAATAAGTGTTTTATGATGATGGTTATGTTTTTGGGTTAAGTTGGTCTGTTTCTTGTTCTGTCAGTCAGCACCATTACGGTAGAAATGAGTGGCTCAATGTTCATGAAACAAGTGCAATCGTTTCTGTCAGGGTTGAGTGAAGCAGGCACGACCCAAATGCAGATTTCACAGAAAAATACCTTTATTCCAAGGCCAAAATCGTCAAAAACAGAACACTACCCCGTGACACAGTCAAAGACAAACAAGGAACTAACAATGGCAGACAGAAAAAAAAACAGAACTTAAATACACACAAGACTAATCAAAGAAACAAGAGACAGGTGAGGAGGGAGGAGAAAACTCAGGGGCACAAGGTGAACACAATCGGGTAATCAGGGAGGGAAAACAGACAGAAAGCAACAGGCAAGACAGGAGGTGAACACTTTTCAAAATAAAACAGGAAACCAAAGACAGAAAAAGACAAAACAAAACACAGACAGACAGATCGTGAAAGTTTCTCACTGATTTCTAGCTAGTTGGGTTGACCCAGAACTTTTACTGTACCTCCAGATTGGATGCAAAACTATTAGTTTCTTTCCCCAGTTGTCAAAACCAAAAGTAGTGTATTGAGTTTGAAATAAATTCACATTTACATGGATTACTTTAATTGGTTTAAGGTAGAATAATTCAAACCATGATGAAATCTACGTTAACTTATAAATCAAGTTGCAGATTTTGCTATAAAATAAACACATTGTTATGTAAACAGCAGACTTTTTGTGTCGAGTTTAATTTAATTGGCAAACCCAAAGCCTGTAGGTCTTAAGTCTTAAGAATATATACTAAAGCTACACAAAGTTATTTTAATGATTTGATGTATTGCAATGAAACCAAAACTCAAGGCCCCTTAAAGCGTGTGTATTTTATTTTGGATTAGTTTTTTTCATGTTATCAAATCTGAACCACATTTGAAGGTTGCGGTAGCTCTTTCAGCTGGAGTTTGGTTAAACAGCTCCGCTCCAGGCAAACCGCTGTAAGCTGTAGAAATCAGTTTAGTGTTCACCTTGAGTGGGTTTGGCTCTGCTCCGAGCAGACGGGCGTGCTTTGGTTTCCTTTCCTCATCTACTGTAAACACACTTTCATTCTCCGCTTTACCCACACATGCAAGAACACCTTGTGCTAGTGCCTGTTTTCCCTCAAGTAGGTTTGTCAGGTCCAAGTCTCTCACTATCTGACAGCAACACTCCCTAAGCACCAACTAGATATTGAGTCGATGGAGCATTCATTCTCCGTGATGCATTCAGGGACGTGTTCTGATTTACTTAGCTTTGCATTTAACATTACTCACGTGGTTGAAATGGTTTGGTTTTAAGACTGACACAGGAGAGACCACCCTAGTCAAATGTCCATGACATGTTCTTACGCTCACTTACTTCTGTTAGCTTTCAACCCGAGTCTTTTAGGGACCTAAAACTAAAGATATAAGCCAGCAAACCCCAAAGCAACCTGCAGTGTTTAGCTTTTTGGGATTTTAAGCAGGGGCTGAATGGATGGATACTACATTTAAGAAACCTTCTAACAGTTCCAGTGGTAATAAAATAAAATAAAAATCTAAATAAAGCATTATGAAGAACATAACTTCTAAAAATGCCTACCATCAGGAAACCGACGTCACTGATAATTATTTAGAATGTGTCTCAAAATATCCAGTTACAGGCATATACTTTTTTTTATTTTTTATATTTGATACATTTAACGGGGTAATATTTTAAATACATAAGTTTTACCTATAAATCCTAGTTTTGCACTGTAATATTGCTTACTTTACTTACTTTTTTCACCCCTGAGAATGGCCTTTTTGTTAGCTTTCACCAGTAGGCCCTATAATGATCATTATCAGGTTCATAATTGTATTTAATGTCTCTACTGTGACACGTTTCCATGCGTTAATGTTCAAAAAATCTCTTTATTTTCCTCATACTGCCTGTGCTGCAGCACCTCTTTTCACCCTCTGACTGAAACCAGAGCCCAGTCTGATCTCACCTGAGCATATCACGCACCATGAGGGAGGGAACTTTGAGGATTTTGCGTTTCCAGACCATTTAAATGCACAATAACCTATATAACACACCATAGGAAAAGGAAACGCCAAAAAAACATAATGGAGCCCCAAAATTGTTTTGAAATGTGATCAAGACTGAAAGAAAACATTTCAAAAACAAAATAGATGCAGCTCGCTATTGTGGCTACCTATGATCATTATGACACTGCTTGAAATCAATGACAGGTCTATGAAATATCAAATTAGCGGGTATCTATAACTAATGTATTCAGAATCCATAAATGTCTCCAGTAAGATCAGACCATAGCCATTCCTTTACCTTCTGCTGCTCTGAGTCCTTATTATTTGTAACAAGCCGTATGTCATGGACATACTTCTACCATTATTTCACTACAAATGGCTAACATGGGTACATTTAAAATCAATGTGAACCCAAGTTCTTCCATGCACAACACTTTGTTTTCCAACAGCTCCCCATGTCCTCATCCCTGCAGAACGATGTGGAAAATATTCCTAGCATGTGTCCCTACCTCTCACTCAGAGCAGGCTGGAGGAATCATTTTATACTCTTCCTCAATCTCACAGCACAGTGTGCATCAGGGGGTAATTTAGTGGAGTACAGTGGATACACAGCTGACTCTCTTTGAAAGATGATGGTTTTCAGCCAGGCAGTTCCTCTCTGACCACCGTACAAGGGGACAAGCTGAGACCATGATAGTGAATGGCTCTATGGAAGGTATTGTCAGTTTGTCGGTCAACCTTTTTGTTCTAAACTGAAATATCATTACAACTTATTTACAAGATTGACATTTATATTGACAATTTACAGATATTCATGGCCCTCAGAGGATAAATCCTACACACTTTGGTGCTCCTTGACTATTCCTCTGGGCTACCATGATGTTGGATGCTGACGTTTTTCATTTAAATGCCTCACAACTTAGATGGATTATTTGATAATTACAGATATCTATGCTGCCATTGTGATAAGTCATTTCCTGACTTCAGCAAATCAACATTTGTATTGAATCTGTACATTTGTTGATAGCTCCTGCTAAATAGGGAGTTTTTTTATTCGAGAAGGGGTCTAATATGTTGAGATTATCCTACTGATCAAAATAAGTTAAGTATCATAAAGGTGTTTTTGCCACAAAATACCGAAAGCCAATAGGGAAATCTCCTTGGCTTTTTGTCGAGTGAGCCCTTGCGATGCTAACTTCCAGGTCTACCTACAGAAACACTTCATCACTGTACCACTCCATTGGCACAAATGAAGTAACCATATTCATACTTACCAAATGTTGCATCTTTACAATTAAGAAGTTGACACCTGTACTGTACTTGTGACATTAGCATTTAGCCAACAACTGTCTCTTAGTACACACTAACAGAGGCTCTGGCATGACTTGAGACATGTTATATAATCTTGAGGGATCAGGGTGTTAGATGTTTTTCTGAATGTAAAATATTATTCAGCTTCTATCTAAATCAAATGCACAGTGCATTAAACTCACTAGCATCCTCTAAAAGGGGCTTTAATATATTGTGTGTGTGTGTGTGTGTGTGTGTGTGTGTGTGTGTGTGTGTGTGTGTGTGTGTGTGTGTGTGTGTGTGTGTGTGTGTGTGTGTGTGTGTGTGTGTGTGTGTGTGTGTGTGTGTGTGTGTGTGTGTGTGTGTGTGTGTGTGTGTGTGTCTTCCAGTTGGACCACCATAGCAGCAGATTAGCTCTCACTATAGCTAATCACCGGCTCTCAGGTATAAAGACTTTCTGTGTGGAAGCAGCAGCCTCTGCTTGTCGTGCCTGACGTTGCCAGCTAATCTGCTTCGTGAAGACTAAACACTCCGGCACCAGGCTCTTTACCAAAGGCCAAAGGTCAAGCTCTATTAAGTGTCAAAACACGGCTGATTCTCTGATCTTTGGACTGGGCATAGGCAGGAAGGAGAGCTAGAAAAAGGAACACATTCACATCATCAGAAGATTAGCGGACATGCTTACATTTATTGTTTTGTCAGCTCATGAGCGGACACAGTGTTTCGCAGAGAAAGTTGGTCTGTCTGCATCACACAGCTGCTTTCTGTTTTCACCATAAACGTAGCTTGTGTACTTTGTTTGATGACTGAAAGTACTCAGTTGTGATGGATGATAATGTTTCGTAGCAGACAAATGATACCAATTATCACAGGAAAGGAATTCGGTTTAGTTCAATCATGGCCAGTGTCACCATACCTCTGCTACAGTGTGTTTAAATGAACTGCTAATAGACCCTTTCAAAGTAAGAGTCCACTTGTTCAAGGAGCTCTTGCGGTAAGTGACACAAACCAATCCATCATGCTGATGGAGATGGATGATCATTTGGAGCCCATTAATGGAATCCTAGTTAAAAGTCAAGGGTCAGGTCTTCAGCTACTACAGCTGTCTGTCACGAGCTGAAGAGTAAGACAAGCATTCCTGAACTCCCTAGAGATAGGGTAGGGTCATGACCAGATGCTTTTTTTCTTCTTATCTTATCGGCCACAAGTCTTACTGCTTGCATACTAAAGATAAAATCCATCTATTTGATAAAAAATGCTGACTCTTGTTGTGAATTAGCTGTAATTAAACTTATTAAGATTTGCTGACATTATATACAGTACTACATTTTATTAAATAAAAATAAAGTACATTATTGTGAGCCTCATTCATTAAAATTTGCATTCTAGGTCTAAAATTAAACACGACTTCCCAACTGCCAACTCAGATTTCTATGAGTACTTAAGACCAGTGGATAAAATATCTGAAACTTGACATACAAGGATAGCTGTAATGTTATTATACTTCCGTGCCAAAAACGGCTATAG